ATTAGAAGAAATTCGGCAACACAAATGTGCATTCTCTCCGTGTTGCCGAAATCAATTAGACTGTTACAAAATCCAAACATGAATAATGTGAAAATATTAGGGATTCAGGAACAGCAAACATCACATCAAGCAATGAATGATAAATTTAGCCCATTCGTTCAGTTACTGAAATATCAAAAGTAGTTTGATCTCACCGACAATTTTCTCGAAGCGGTGCCTCAAAAGTCAATGAGTCCCGTTCACCGATGTCACTAGGTGGGTTTCGGCACAATCTACCGACCTTTCGGAGCAGACACTCAAAACTCAGTGATACTCTACTTACCTAGGTTATACAGACATTCAAAAGACAAGAGAGGCATCCAATGACCGGATTTATTTAGGAATATTGCGGAAATCGATCAAAAGTTTCATGTTGGAACACCACATCAGCGTGCGAACATCAAGCTGAGCGATGACAGAGGATATGCACAACTGGATTTCAAGTACACGCTAAGGTAAACGATTCTAATTAATTTCAAGAAAATGGTGACAGTTTAGAGGAATCTTGGATCTTCCTGAAAGTGTCTGTTGAATAAAAGTCTGAACATTGAACCCAGCGGGTTTCGAGAAATTTAGGATGTAATGCTGAGGACCGAACTACCTGTAAGACAGTTAAGGGCCCGTAAAATTCTTGTTATCACGACCATTAAAATGATTTAGCGGCCTAGATAATGTTGTGCAAGTACACATATGGTCATGAAATTATAACGATGCTGTTAACAAGGATCGGCCGTACGGCGAACACTCTTCGCTAGCCTGTATATCTGGTTCACGAACTGGGTTCCCGACATTCCAGTGCGATTACTGTTCAACTGACCTGGTCCGCCTATAATCTCTGGCATGTACCATCCAAAAACAGTCTACGGATAACAACTATCATGAGCAGGAATCTTGTCACGTCAATATCTACGAGAGCGGTCCTTAGGAGACTATCAAAGATAGGCTGTTTTGGAAAGGACTGGACAAACCAAAATAAGCGTGATGATTTCATGGTACTCATGCTTTTGATTCAACCAGCTCAACTCGAGCCGTGACCTGCGATTTTACACGCTCTTTAGTTTCTGATGAATCAGTATGTCTTGAAGAGTCGGCAGGAGGCAGGGTCAGATGGTCTCCCACTGGCGTTATCCCAAGATGACTATGAATCTGCGTTTTGCTTTGACCAGGTTGTTTAAACGAATTCGATCGCGTTGAGGTTTACAACGAGAGGTTCATCAGCAATGCTATCTGACCTCATTTTTGTCACCAACACTATCACGAAGTCCACTTCCCAAGGCAGAATCTGTTGTCGAACACAGTCTCTTTAATGCTTTCTTATTACCGTGAACCCCGGTCCGGATAGCCGATTGATAGCCAGATGCGCTTGGACAATGAACGTGCGAGCCAGCTGCTCTATTGATCACTGTCGCGTACAAGCGGGTCAAACAAGTGATACAAAGAATACAACTCATCTGTCAAGGCCGAGTGAAGAACAACCAATGAAATCTGTCTCAACGAAAACGGTTATTCCATTGGCTGTTATGTAGTCCCGTTACGTTCGGAACAGGTTCTCTTAATAGAATCACATCTTAAGTTAGACTGGCAGGTTGCGGATGACACAGTTATGTTGTTTCACGATCACCTCTCCGAACAGGCTACTCTAATATCGAAAGTGGTCGTCTGTTTTGAACCTTGAAAGTACAAAGTCTTAAATCAGGAGTTCCAACTGCCATGTACCCCTTCGAAACTTCAGGATGAGCTTTAGTTTGCTGATGCGCTTACTGATCATCGCGGCTGTACTAATCAGAACTGCATTGTGACGGATGAAGCTACCCGAGGCACCATCAGGATAGTGCTCACAAACTTGCGTCAGTTTTGGCTTCAGAAAAGAATAGCACTCAGATCAGGAGGTCATGCTAACAAAAACACTGTGAAAGCACACTTACTCTGTGACTCTGAAGCCTCGCACCTACGATTTGAGGATTTCAAACGTCTAAAAACGTTTGGTCACCGATGCATCCGTAGTTTAGCAGGCGTTAACTGAATGAATCACGTAGGTGATGAGGCGTTTCCACAAGAAACGACAAGGTATTAGGTCAGGTTCGATCGACCACCATTTACCAAACAAACCACTGTTTCCCGGTCCAAAATTTTGTTAGACAAAGGTTCCCATAGGGAGGCCGCGATTTGGCATCGTAAAATGAAAGCGGTTACTGTTAAATCTAACACTATGGGGTGTCCGCGCCCTCCTGAATGGGGTACCGGAATTCCATGCACTCATTAAGAAACGCGACAAGACATGGAACGTAACCGATTCCAGTGGCTTGCTAATTTCTTAGCCACTCACTTCTTAGCCTGACTGGTCGGCTAACGTCGTAACATAGGAGACTACTGATGAGGCATGCGAGAAATATGCTTTCTCGTAACTCCACTTTACGTCTATTGGAAAGCGGAACGGCACCATACCACCCGAGAACAAATAATCTAACCGATCGTAATAATCGAACGATCAAGGAATGGCAGGCGATCAAAGGAGGTGACTGGGAAGTGCACCGGCCAATGGTATTGCTAGCTCATCTTGCTCCCATACAGCCAACCACAGAAAAAAATCGTTCAGCTGTAGCACCCTTTCGGTGCCTAGCTGCCATGCCACACGAAGGAAGCACGAGGGCTGAGATACTTCCAGGTGGGCCAAGCCTAGACAGGAGAGGTCGAGAGGCAGTGGCCGGGTTCGAACCACTGACCTTCCGGTCAGTAGGTTCGTGCTCTAACCACTTGATGCATCAACCAACCACAGGCAAGTCCCTAGTCATGCTGATGTACGGTCACCATCCGAGCCTCTCAGTTGATTAGGAAATCGGGTTATGGCCGGCGACACGCCTGTGCCTGGAGGAGCTACGAGAGGAAAGCTCGAGAAAACTTAATCATCGTTCAGGAAAGGGTTAAAGAGAAAACAGCAAGTAGAAAAGCACGACTGTTCCCCATAGGCACGAAGTTCAAGTGAATGGACCATCAGAATCCTGGAAGGAGTGAACCGGGGCCGCGAAATCTGGGTAGTCTATGGCAAGGCTCGCTTGTCGTTACCGACCGCCAGGGGAACGTCTATACAATTCAAGACGGTCGGGATCGAAGAGTAAATGGGACTCAGCTTCGGAAGTGGCATGATACACCCAAAGAGCGGCCGAATAGGCCGGTTGCTGGAGCCGACCTAAGCCAGGTAAAAGAAAATCGATGGCATGCGAGCGACCTTTAATAACGGAACGTGCGTAACAGTGGGAACTACTGATGAAGCATGAGTAATACGTTTTTCTCGTAAATACGCTTCGAGTCTATTGGGAAGTGGGATTTATCGCGGAATTTGTGGAATAGCTCTGTAGCTTTTGTTTACATTTGAGTGATAGTCAATGAATACCCAACTGACGGACGGATATTCAGTTCTTATAAACAACATGCATATGGGAGTCTTGATTTCCTGTCCAATAGTCTCTCACTGCTCAGTTGGTGTTTTCCAATAAATAACTCCGCAGCGAAGGCCTTCTTCCTTTCAACGGTGGTCTGTCACTGTAAGTTGGCTTTGGGCCCAAACATGCTACTCAGATGTCTATTTCAGTAGTTTCGGGATAGCTCCCTTCCCTTTTACCAATGCCTTCTTTCTTCATGACTGTGTGGTAGCTAAATACTGCCACAAGGACAATAACGTAATGTTAATCAATAAAATGACAAGTTTTCGAGGGGGAGAAAAGCGGTCTGACCTTGGTTAGGACCCGTCGCAAACCCGTCAATGATTTCTCATCTTATGTGATCTGGGGGTAACAACTGACGTTGTGCGGCCTATCTGTTTAAGAGGAATAGGAGAGACCGAAGAGGGAAATGAATCTATTCATACAGAACGCCTTGTTTTAGTACGTTGACTGTCGTTGTCGTGGCGACTGATGCGATGCCAAGGTCTCGGAGAACAACTGTTGCCGTCACGGTTCGTCAGGACACGACACCATAACTTTTAGGATTCTAGTGAGTCTCAAGGCGTCTCGTTCGGGAGGAAAAGAACACGCCAAGATGTAGCGAGAAAGCCCTCTCACTCAGGCATCCTCATCGCACATGCAAAAAAGAATCCCAACTGGTCGTGGATTGGGCATACTTGTGTCTCAGCCAACAAATGGATATGACACACTGTAATGCATTCTGAAAGAGGCCACTTTCCGGAAGAGCTCACTGGGGACACTCGCTAGATCTTTATGGGATTTCCCATTCCAACCCTAGAGTCTACCAGTTAGTTCCTCGGTAGAAAGACCATGAACCCCGTGACCTACAAAGCCAAAAGCGCCATTCGGAGGCAGGGTGAAAACTTTGAATGAGTGCGTGACACAATCTAATGAAACAATGGTTTTCCAACTGTTCGAAAAACTTGATCAAATCATCTAGAGGGAAACAAGTCTGGATTCTTATCTTCACTAGTATTATAAGATTTTTAACTGAGATTTCCTCGTTTCATTGAGGTCTATGTGTGATCAAAAGCAAAGAGTACTGTACAACTATCTCATCCTAATTGGGAACCAATAGCAGTGCACACATAAGGAAGTTTCGAACTCGGGACTTCACAGGTAACCTTGGTTAACTCAATACGAATGAAGCAACCGTACAGTGCTTCTCGGAGGGCTCTAAGCCTATTCGAACCACAGGCCTACCAATTTGATTGTTAATGTCCGAACCAGCCCGAATTTGAACGGCGAAGATTCTGGATCGGGGGCGAGATGGCCGAAGTGGTTAGAGCGTGAATTTACTGACCGGAAGGTCCATGGTTCGAATCCGACCTCCGCCTCTCGACCTCTCATGTCTAGGCTTGGGCAACCTGACAGTATCCCAGCCCTCGTGCCTCTTATGGGTGGCATGGCAGTTAGGCGCCGAAAGGGTGCTACAGCGATTTTTTAGATTCGGGATTCAAACGCCCCACTTGCTTCAGCACAGAAAAACACATCAATGCTAGACGGACGGTGTATATTTCCAGCATAGTGTGATGTGTACCGCGCACCCCACACCCGTCACACAACAGCCAGAGGAATTGTCACAGGTGATAGGTCTCACAAACATGCGTGCTTGCCATCCACGGAGTATCTACTCTGGCAGATACATCCTTGGGTGTAACGAGCAATCGTAAGATGCTATTGAAATGGTTGACTAGAGTCACAAATACTTCAATTATCGTCTGACCGAAAAATCAATAGTCAATCAATAAAAATGCATCAAAAAGCAACATGGAATCGTCGTTGAAAACCTTGACAAATTTAAAAGACCGAGGGATGAATGATAAAAAACAGCAGAAAGATCAGAACCGAAGGTCTTTACTAGGAGGAACAGCCATCCATTCCTCGATTTCCTGAACGGTACGTGGAACGTCGGTCAGGAGCTCATAACCTGTCTCCGTGATGACTACGTTGTCTTCGATACGAACCTGTGGAGGTACACGAAACAGGATCAATGATTACTTACGTTAAATAGATTGGATGGTCGAGAAGACAGTGGATCTTGCTAAAGGAAACTCACAAGTACTCACGGGGCGAGAAGATGCAGTACACATCTCAACTCAATTCGAACCCGAGTGTGAGAATTTTCGCTGAAGTTACTACTGAAATCGTGTACCGACAAGTGACTATAAAAGCTCCAGGATTGTAGAAAGATATCCACCATAGAAAGCACAGTTCGATCGACACATGATCCCAATACAATCCGCGTGACGCTGAACTGATCAAAACTTGCCAACTTTCTCGGATTCAACTCTTGTTGGGACTTATTCGGCGACCGTGGAATTCTGTATCGGTTCCTTGACTTCCTGCTCCACCCAATATGGTATATCAAAGAGCACGGTAGCTCTAGACAGCCCTTTATGGACACAGTAAAATTATTACAACTGTATTTATAGGGTAGTCAGTGTGTTCCACAAGGTCGTTGCAAAATCTCCGTGATGGGGCGAGAAGCGTCGAGTCAGAGATGTTCGATCCGGATTGGTTGGCATTCTGACCAATCAGGGCATGCCTTCGCTTGGTCCGTGTCCTGCACGTGACACATCCGTCCAAATGACGTGATGTTCGGTTATTAGGGACGGCTGGCCTCCGGACAATTCTACTGTCATACGATTGTGCAAACCAATAAAGTGTGGTAGGCACTGAGAACGATATCTGTCAACAGCGTGTCCCACTTCATCGGTCATCTCTGTTTAGTAAGCGCCGTCGTCAAATTAATGTTATGACTCGCATAGAATATGTTTCTGCCATTCTAGATGAAACAAATGGATCGAAAATCCCCCCGTGTAGCCAACAGCACTGTCGCTTCCCTACGATTGACGAACGCATACAATCTACAAGGATGGTGCGACTAGACTTCATCCGTCCCATCGGAGGACCATCTGCTCCGTACACTGTATTTGAACAAGTCATGTTCGTTCAGTTGTAGCACCCTTTCGATGCCTAACTGCCATGCCACCCGAAGGTTTCACGAGGGCTGGGATACTGCCAGGTTGCCCAAGCCTAGACAGGGGAAGTCGAGAGGCAGAGGTCGGGTTCGAACCACGGACCTTCCGGTCGGTTAATTCGCGCTCTAACCACTTAGACCATCTCGCCTCCGAACGAGTCATGCACTGAGTGGAAAAAGTGTTCACCTCCACGAGAAAGTGCTCCTGCATCCGGGATGCGACGGACCTCGATGCGGAACGTTCTTCGACAAGCACACTGTATCTAGACTTGCGTTCTGGGCTGTCAGTTCAATTGAGTCCATGTCATCGGCTATAAAGCACGTACCAAGCGTGCATGCGTTGATTCCAGCTGAGCGTCCAAACAACAGAACACAGGGCACTCCGTCACTGATCAATAGTTTGCGTACAAGCTCCACTGCTATACCAATAGGTGGGAGCGCGACAATGCGGTGCGACAGCGGAAGCTTGGTCAGTGCTGTGTTTTCCGGACCTGGGAACAGCTTGGGTAACATCGGTTCGGTACTGACGTACAAGAAGTGCCCCAATAGGGCTAGGCGATAAAACTGCGGTCCGTTTCGGCAGCACGGGGTCGTAGCAGGATGTACTCACTGAAAACCGGTAAAGTTTGACAATGAAGTCAAGGTATACATGACTGTCAGGAAAAACAAAGCAGAAAAGTCAAGAAATTTCCTGTGAATGTGTCCAGCTTCTGGGTAACAACAAACTCTGGTGGAATTTGACGATGTTGTGATTTTATTTGAACAACCGCGAGGTCTTTGAGAAAAACCATACGGCGGAAATAGAGGACTTACGCCACCAAAGTTCCGAAATCTGTTGAGCACTTGAGGAACAATAAACTGTTTGAGCTCTTCCGAAGCAAGGGCCTCGTCTAAAAATCGATCGATGAAGTAACAGCCAGGCTCAACAGTGATGACAAAGTTGGGTTCGAGGCGCCGCGCAGTACGTAAGTTGCGCAAACCGCGGGCTTCGGGTCGTGGAGGAGCATCCTAGAAAAGAGATGAAAAAGGAGAAGTTTTGAAAACGTCTAAAGTTACCGATTAGTAGTACCTGCATCACAGCAGTACATTCAGGGTCAACAGAGGTCAATAACGGAAGTAGACGGATGGAAATCCAAAAATACGGTTGTATGAAACATACAGTGATCTACTTCACCCGTAACTCAAGTTGGGCCTTTGACTTATCCGGGACACAAGCGCACTACTCTATCGGCGCGAGACGCTGCCACTCAGATGTGTGAAAAGACTGCGTGGAGTGCACACCAGGAAATGCACTGTATTCAAAAACCACCCCCCCCTACGAAGGGAAACCAGTGGTCACATGGACAACCCATAAGAACAGCCTCAGTCAACCAAATAGAAACGCGCGGTCTTACCGAAGGATGGATGTGCTATTCACCTCAGTGACGTCTATTCGGAGTACGGCCATTGATCGACAGTGAAAAGGTGAGAAGTAATCAACAGCTGCTTCATCCTTACTGGGAATCATCAACAGTTCGAAACGCACGAATCTCACGGAGTCCCGAACTCCGTCTAAGTGTGGGGTAATCACAGTGCTAGTCAACAGCTTGAGACCGAGCGGTTAAACGTTCAAACTACTGGTTCGAAACTCCCTAAAGTTTCGTTAGATTCGTACAGCTGATGATTCCCAACAAGGATGAAAATAGAAAAAAATCATTCGGCTGTAGCACCCTTTCGGTGCTGCCAGAAGGGAGTACAGGATACTGGGATACTACCAAGTTGCCCAAACCTAGACAGGGGAAGTTGAAAGGCAGTGACCGGATTCGAACCACGGACCTGCCAGTCAGTAAATTCGCACTCTAACCACTGAGCCACCTCGCCACAATAAGGATGGGACAGATGTAGAGTGATTCCTGGTTTTCAGCATAGACTGATCTCTCTTACAGTACAAAATCTCCAGTGCGGTAGCAAGCTAGCATACGCATATTCTGCCTCGATATATCATAACGCTCAAACCTGGGCGACAGAAAAATGGTGGACACAATGTGACATACTCGTTAGCTGGTTTCAAAAATCAGTTTGATGAATGCTTTCATGGTAGTTACAAGCGCGTACTCTCTATCCCTCGCTTCCTCGCAGTTGAGTAGAATCATTTGCAGAATTAACTGCCTCTAACACTGTAACGGCGGATACTACTGGTGAGGCATGTTCCGTTTTTTAAAAACTGAGCATTCTCACGCGTCTTCTTGAACTTTCATGGATATTCATTGACTACCACGCAAGTGTAGATGAACACTTCAAAGCAGTTCCAAAAGTTCCGTAATAAACTTCACCTTCCACTAGACGCGGGGATGGGGCTTTGAGAGGACCACATACTACTCGCATAGCCTCATCAGTAGCATCCGCCGTTACACCACTACTTACCAATCGGTCAGGGTATCTACTAAAAAAGATAACCATACAAACACTAGGCTCACGCATATCACGAGAATTACAGGACGCCTGTTTAGAATGCATCGTTCTGGATTTAGCGTATTGGGCGAGTGGTTTCCCGAAAAGCGATACAATAAAAAGACAAACAGTGATCTAACTCAATTTGTCCGAGATAATTTATGCACGAAAACGTGATGGATGTCAGTGTGATCTACAGTGGTTGACACTGGTTATATAGAGTGGAGGCTGTCATATCTTGGAGAATCAACATCTCACAACATAAGAATGAAAATAGCAACAACAGTACTACAATCGTTCAGCTGTAGCACCCTTTCGGGGCCTAGCTGCCATGACACCCGAAGTAAGCACGAGGACAGGGATACCGCCAGCTGGACCAAGCCGAGACAGGGAAAGTCGCGAGGTAGAGGTCGGGTTCGAACCACGGACCTTTCGGTCAGTAAATTCGCGCTCTAACCACTGAAACATCTCGCTCCCTAATAGTTCGGCGATCAAAGGGCAAGCCAAATGACAGTTCCCAGAAATAATACACTTACAGGACTATATCCGCCAACGTCGTGTACGTCACAGCCCATCAAATGCCCGAGACCGTGGGGCATGAAAATCGCACCCAGCCTGGCCTTCATCATATCGTCCAAGTTGCCACGCAAAAGACCGTGCGCTGACAGGTGGTTGAGAATCTCGCGTTCGGCTAGCTCATGTAATTCGACCCAACAAGCTCCTGGTTTCAGTGCAGCCAAAACAGCCCTGGAAGCGTAACAGACGGCTTTTACAGTTTTCGGTTCCACAAGGAAAAAATATGCCGTTAAAGACCAAGAAATAGTAGACCGGTAGAGATGTGAGGATTGCTCAAAACTTCGATTTTCCGTGTCAGATAAATTCGGATTGTCCAGAGCACTGGTACAGGCAGGAGAACAGATGGTCGTGTCTCAAAATAAGGGGCATAAAAGACGCACGGAGGTCATCATCACAAGCAGCACATGAGTAATCAAACATATGCGCATCTATTCCGTAAAACTCTTATCTATATGAGAGCCTTATTGTGAAGAAAAGAATAAAAGTGGACAGAGAAGGAACTTAGCGCTAGCCTATCTCAATCATTCCGGGGTGCCTACACTTCCAGACACTCATTCAGGCAATCTGGATAGAAACTGACAACAAGATCGCCACTGACATCGATTAGCAGTCATATCTTGCACAGCGATAGTCACGTGACCCAAATACTGGAAGATAGTCGCTACGACAGCACCCAAGCTTTTCGTAATCGATTTTATACCAAGGTCAAGGGTTAACTATCTTTCTCCTGAATAGGACACGGAAAACAGCCCTCTGTCCGGCAAACGATCGTTCGACATGCGCAATACATGGCGTCACCAGTGTAGCTACTGGAGCTGGACACATTGATCATTGGAAGTATCCGTTGCACAACCGAAAACTCGCTTTCTAAATGCCTCGTTACGAGCAATGGTTCTGGGACAACGATTGTGAACACCTAAAGATGTTTCAGTTGCAATTTCCGAACAAGCCAAGTCTCACACCTATACAACGAAATAGCCTGTACTATAGCCTGATACACACATCCCTTAAGGTTCAGATATATACGACTTTGACGCCATAGGTGTCTCGAATTAGCAACCGCGACGCGGGAGATTCATGCAACCAGAATGCAACCTCCAAGATGGGTGGAACCATCCACAATCTCGAGTACCCCTCCTCGGATATCAGATTGAGACAATCAAATGTTGTCTGCACATTAACTAGCGCCGTAGTCCGATGTGAATTCCGCACAAGTATGAGGAACACCATGGAGATGACGCACAACCAACTGTAGATCCTCAAACTGGACCCGGTTCCAAAACGGATGCTTCAAGATCGTGGAAATACTGTGCTTATATGCGGTGAGAACTGATTTGAATGGAACAATAACTCACTTGAGTCAATTAGACTGTAGTCGTGGTGACTGAAGAGTGGGAAAACTGTGTTTCACAAGGACGCCAGATTGAGCGCAAGGCTTATTGCAAGGAAATTTGCTCGAAACGTGTCTCGGCCGATTTTCATGAGTATAAATCCAGAACCGAGGCCAGCTGTCCCTAATAACCGAACACCACATCATTTAGCCGGATGTGTCACGTGCAAGACACGGACCAAACGGATGCATACCCTAATCGGTCAGAAAACCAGCCAATCCGAGCGCACCTTTCACTCAACGTTTCTCGCCCCCTCATGGAGATTCCGGCACGACCTTGTGGAACATTCTGTGATTATCCTATAAATACAGTTGTAACAGTTTTCCTTTGTCTCCAAAAAGGGTTGTGTAGAGCTACCGTGCATTTTGATATACCATGTTGGGCGGAGCAGGAAGCCAAGGGACCGATACAGAGTTGCACTACCGTCCAGCAAGCCACAACAAAACCCCCAGAGGTTAATGCAGGGAGACAGTCAAATACAGTCAGTTCTAACCAGGTTACGAGTGTCTGAAATGTGAACAGGTCTGTTTAGTCGTGTCAGAAGATATTTTCAAACTGTGCCGTACATGAAGTCAAGAATGGTATGAGACTTGATTTTGAAATGAGCTTTGATTGCGTCATTGAAGTCCGTCTGTGTAGAAAAAAACCGAGAAGCAGCGTAGACCTGTTTCCTTATCATCTCACGAATCTGCGGGGAGATTCGAACTCGCGTCTTCTCACCCACGAGCGACTGATCAAAAGTGATTGGCTCACCGTAAGATAGGATACAACACCAATCACAGAAACCACATCACGTGGTCACGTATTGACTTGCTTCTCGAGTGACGACTTCTCGGGTAGAAGGTTCACTCGTCTTGTGAATCATACTTCCATCTGGGCTATCTATAGTTTCATGGTAGCGTAAGGAAATTTGGGAATTTTCAGTGGTGAACAGAAGCTCGTGGCTTGGTTCAAACCCCGGTAAAATCAAGCATACAAGCTTCTGCTAAGCTCCAGTAAGAGTCGAACTCGAGTCTAGTGCTCTCAGGGCAGACCAACCAAAATAATCGCAACTGGACAAGAAGCGGACTGGAGGAACTGGGAGGGGGTGTGAATTCGAGTCTCGTAGATAGTGGAAAATGGCAAAACGTGATCGATTCAACCGAAGTAGCTTACCGTGATGCGGATAACACGGCTTCGTAAACAATTTTCTGGTCGTCCGTGAACCGGCCGTTGACCGGGTATGAACAGGTAATGTCCGACGCATAGCAGTAGTACTCTCCACCCATATCAAATAGACACATGTCTCCATCTTGAATCAACCGCTCGTTTGGCGAACCTGCGTGGCCATAGTGCAGTGTAGCACAGTTGTGTCCGCTGAAAGTTGACGAGGAAGAAATAAGAAAAAGCAGGCAATATATGTATGGCACACTCCAGTAGGCAGACAACGCTTAGAAGTGTTTAAAAAGTGGATTCGTTGTGGATGTGGAAGCAAGGAGCTTCTGCCCGGCTTCCTCAATTATCTTTAGATGAAGCCCTGAGAAGAAATGTTGGGAGAAGTTGGAGCAAACCTCCTCGAAAGAGACTGGAAATTATCAGGTGCACAGTCCAGTGTCATGCGGCATCCTGTAATGACGGCAATGCCTCAGCTCATTCGTCGGTCTGGTATTCCGAAGGTAGCGTTTTTAGGGGAAATTCGTACACCTTCTGGAAGTTCCAGTGACAACCGGCGTTCAGAGCTATGCGATTGGCCGGAAGATGGGACCACTTGCCGCTCCGGCATCAAGGGAAATTCTGATTGGCCAAAAAGCATGGATATAACAACCAGCATCTACCGAATGGTGCGTTTATGCGTCGGCAGAATGTTATCGCCCTACACATTTTAAATACGGCGAGCTGTGCATGTTTTTTTGCTTGGTTTTTGGGCGTTTAATACACGTTGAGTGCGATGGTAGTTCTTTCGCCAAAATCAAGCTTCCGACCGATAACCGATCACCACTAATACAATCAGACATTCTGAATGAAGACTAGCTCAGGAAATGATAGTATGATAGTATGCATTGCACTGACAAGACCAGATGTGATCGGTAAGGGAGACGCGTGTGCGAATCATATACAGCGGGGAGGCGACCGGGGACGTGGCAAGGAGATGTTGAACAAATCACAGAAAGAGTCAACTGAAAGGCCATTTTTGCCCTAGGGCAGTGACTGAGGACAAACAACAGGGAGCAACCGAGGACTTACGAAGCTCCGATGCACGTGTAGGCCACATGTCGCATTCCCCCATGGAAGTAGCAGTAGTGTAGGAAGATGCTTTCAGCTTCGAACTCGTGCATTCCCGGTCTGACGCATCGCATCAGATGACGATGGGCAGCACTGCTGATGCGATTGGAATAACGAATGACGTCCAGTTCCTCGGGGGTTTTGTACAGGCGACTGGAAATATCGAACGGACCAAAAAAAGAGCATGTCCAACTACCACATGTTGATAACCGAAGGGTATGCGAAAAAA